GACAAAAATTAACATTTAAATTAAAAGCACTTAAAATCATTTGATTTACTATCTTGATCTAATCAATTCAGAAGTTGATTTGATGAAAATTGGTGGAAATCAAGCCAACAATCAAGCTCTGAACTTGAGAGAATAAAGAGTTATACACACCTCCTTCCCCCAAGGAGCAAGAAAGATGTACTATGGTATTTTGCTAGTGAACTGGTAGCACTACCTCCCAAATGGAGGGGTCTGTTCACTTGGCAGGTATCAAGTCAATAGATAGCCCAGATGGTCCTAACAAGGGGGTTTTGTTACGTGGCACAAGTAATGAACACACCGGAGATAGCTCCCAAAGCAGGGATAGTTCCCTGGGCAAGGGAGTTGGCTCTATTTTTCTATAGTCTGACGGTGATCTGATAGGATATTTTGATGGGGTGATGTGGCAAAGTGTACTATGGATCCTGCCATGGAGTAATGCTAGGGCTGAATCTGATTAAATCCTAGATCCTGCCATGAGGTGTCTGCTTCTTAATTCAGTGCCTGTTCCTTGGTCTAAACAGGTTCCACCCATGGTTGTGTGCTTGCTTCATCTGGGCATGCTCAGGTCAAGAGCATCAACTTGGGGGGCCATAGCAACTGAAAAACAACTAACAACTTTGTTAACATAAAAGTTGAGCCCAGGCCAGGTCTCACTTTTGCTCAAGGCTGGTCTCGCACTCGTGAGCTCAAGCAATCCACCTCGGCCTCCCAGACTGCTAGGGTTATAGGCATGAGTCACAATCAGGCCTCCATTTCCATTTTTAAGAGGGAATTCTATGAAATACTTGAATTAATTAATTATTCAGTTTTCATTGTCTAAAGACTCAGGCTGTGGGCAGGAATGGAAAATATCCTATATTATATTATATAAGTGGCATAATAATGTAGCATTGTTTACAGGTTCATTTATTCATTCCTCACATTTTATTGAGCTCCAATTTAGGCTCTAAGTGAATACTGCTCAAATAGACATAGTACCTGTCCTCAGGGAGCATGCTTTCTAATAAGAAACATAGCACATATAAGGCAAGAAAAGTCTCAGGGCAAATTGTGATGTGTTATGATGAAAGTGAGTAGGATGCAGGGAGAGTAAGGTGTGAAGTGATCCCCACAGAGAGAACAGTACGTGCAAAGGCACTGAGGCACACTACGTGTGGTGTGTGGAAGGTGTTGAGAAGTCTAGTGTAAGCCAGAGTGCCTGGAACGTGGTCAGCAGGACAAGCTGGTATCACATGAGTGAGACAGATGAGGAGGGTTAATATTATGTAAGGCTTTGGGGGTAGATGGATTTAGATTTGAATCACCAAGCAAAAATCATTCTAATTGATTTAAGCCTTTGACTTAATGCAATTTTTGTTCTGTCAGCATTGAATGAATAGAGCAACTTGGTAGGTGTTCCTTAAGGTAAATATTAGAATTCTTAAGTTAGAGCTATTTTTTTCCCTATGGAAACAGTTTTTATGGTCATATGTGATTATGGAAACACAGATTTTGATATCTAAGTTTTCAGGTTACATTTCCTTTCGTAATATATAGTAAACCAGGAAACAAAGCAAACCCAAATTTGTTTCAGTTGCAAAGAAGGTAGCATTGGATGCATAGCTTCCTGTTCTCTCCAGGAAACCACTGAGGGAAAATGTTCCATTTTCTGTGTAAATTGTGAATGAGTCGCTAACTTCTCTTTGTTCTAGAATAGTGTTTTCAAGATGTTTGTATAGCAAACAGCCTTGAAAGGTGGAAATTGTGTCTCTTTTTGTAACAAAGGACAGGTTTGTTTATAGCCTTGGGTTGTAGTGTTTCCCTTTAGAGCCAAGGGTGGGTAGGCCCTTGTTAAAGATTATTATTATTGTTAGTGAGATTGGGGCTCTGTAAGCTCAGGGTCTCTCTTCTGAAACGAAACTCCCTGTGTGTGCAAGCATCCTTCTGGGCCTACCCTCACTGCTGCCTGGGCAAGGGGACCTGACACAATCATACTAATGCTCACCCCACTTGCTGTGTGGTGAGTAATCAAGTCCTTTGTCTCTGACTCAGGAGTCTTGTGTCTTCTGTCAGCATCGGTAAAACTGACAGGCTAACTTGTTAGTCTCACAGTTCTTGACAGAGACTCCCCAGTAATTTGAGCAGGCAGGCACAGTGCTAGGCAGGTGATATATCCTAAGGCTTTGCATTCTTTAAGATATCCAATTAGCATTTTTTTAATCACTGCTTTTCCTCTCTGAAGTCACAAGATGAACTATTCTCAGACAATCACATCTTAAGTGTGACTGCTATTCTAAAATACATGTGTGAAGCCTACTAGCTACTAATTATTATGCCTTGAATATTCTTAACCAAGTGGGAGAATATTTCAACAAAAAGAATGCTATGTTAAGATTTTAGGATTATCAAGACATAAAGTATATTAAAATGATAACTTGATTTAATATTTACAATTCTGTGTGTATGTGTGTCTAAAAATGTAATCCAAGCATATTTCCATGAAAGTTCTTACGTGATAACTGCTGAGGGACTAACCCTGGTTTCTCAGGGTTCACAGAACCGTGAATGCCTCCATGCAGGATTATCAAGGGTTATCAAGGGTTATCAAGGGATTATCAAGGGTCTCACCTCCTCCTGAGGAGGGACTTGAGGAGTAGGCATGGTTACCGCTAGCATGGGAGATGGCCAGGCATTGCTCTGGCAGTTGGAGGAGATATTCTGAACCTGCACTGCCCTGTTCAGTGGCTGCTGGTCACATGTGGCTATGGAGCATTTGAAATTTGACTTGTTTGAATTGAGATGTAGTGTCAGTGTCAATTATGTGCCAGAGTTCAGACTTAGAGCAGGAAAGGGACGTAAAGCATCTCCCTATCAATCCTTAAAATTGATTATGTTGGAAAAACGATAATATTTTAGGTAGGTTAAATAAAAATGTTATTGAATTAATTCGCCTGTCCATTTTTACTTCTTTGTGATGAATAGAAAATTTTAAATTACATATGTAGCCCTCACTATATTTCTACTGAAAAATACTGTTCTGGATTTTTGCTACTCAAAGGACAGCTCTTGGGTGAACGGCATTCACATCATCTAGGAGCTCATTAGGAGTAGAAAGTCCCACACCTTTCTCCAGACCTATGGGATTCGAATTTGCATCTTAATAGAATTCCATATTATTTGTATGCACTTTATGGTTTGAGTAGCAGAAAGTCCCTAAGACTAGGATTGCTGGATTTAATAAATTAAAATATAGGACACCCAGTTAAATTTAGTTTTCATATAAATAATAAATAATTTTTAAAACATGGCATATCTCAAATATTGAACAGCATACACATACATTAAAAGTATTTGTTGTTTTTCTGACATTTGAATTGGTATCAATCCAGACTGGGTGTCCTGTACTTTATCTGCCAACCGACTAAGTCTAAATATCTATCTGGTTTGCTTGAAATTCCACAGCATCAGGAAAAGGACAGAGGGTCAGAGAGATAAAAGGGAGAGGAGAAAAGTGGAAGTTGGGTGAAATGAAAGGACAGAAATGAAGGAGGTGTGTGGAGGTGTTCCCAGGAAGACAGGGTGTTGAATGCCAGTGCCTTTGTTCATATTTGAGGTAGGATCTCACTCTATTTCCCAGGCTAGAGTGCCGTGGCCTCAGCCTAGCTCACAGCAACCTCAGACTCCCAGGTTCAGGCTGGGACTACAGGTGTCCATCACAACAGCTGGCTAATTTTTCTATTTTTAGTAGAGACAGGGCCTTGCTCTTACTCAGGCTGGTCTCAAGCTCTTGAGCTCAAGTGATCCTCCCTCCTCGGCCTCCCAGAGTGCTAGTATAACAGGCGTGAGCCACCGTGCCTGGCCAGGTGGTTTATTTCATACTTTTTATTCACAACTTTCTTCCTGATTCCTGCATTCCCTGCTTCCTTTAGTCACCGGGCTTACACTTACTCTCCTCGCCTCATTTTCTACAGGGGCTGCTGGAGCTGCGTTTGGAAAACATGGTGTGTATGCAAAGCAGAGGGTGAGGAAGGGGAATGTGTCCTCGGGGACAAGGCCAAACTTTCCTTTAATTCATCATCTCTCTGAAATTTCTCTTACAAATATTCCCTTCTAGTGAGCGCCAAAAATGCTGACGCTTTCACTTCGGAGAATTTTCTTTATTGTAGCATTTTAATTGTATTTCCTTAACCTGTAAGACAACTCTTAAGGATTTTGGTATTTGTTTTGTTTTTCAGGCTTTTTGGCCAAGGGGGTGGGAGTACAGTCCCCGCAGGGAAGAGCAACAGTGAGGACTGGACTTAGCTAAACATCGAAGAAAGAAGCAGCTTTCATCTTGGATCCCATTTAATCTTCACAAGGATTCTTCAAGTACTTTGGTCCCCACTCTGCCATGAGGCAACAAGTCTGGGGAGGGAGACAAGCTGCCTGTGTCAGACAGCCCTTGGGGGTGGCACCTGCAGGCTGGACACTGAAGCCCGGGCTCCTCCCCACTCTCCGCAAATGGAGAGTCAGGAATTCAATGAGGAACTGTGAACTAGGACATATAGATGAATTCAAGGAAGTTCTGGAGATTTTATTTCATTATTCACCAGAAAAATGCATGGAAAAATATATACTTCATAATATACAGTATATGAGGAGAATTTGATAACTTTCTGAAAATTGGAGAGTCTTTTTAAGAGTTATATGACACTATCAAAGCAATGAAAATTTCTAAAAAGAGTTTAAGTGGCAAGTATATTGTTTCTAAAACTCTCCCTAACAATCATTCAATGAGATGAATAATTAAAAACCTAAATATTGTTTCCAGTCTGTCTCTACATTAAGGAGTGTCAGGCCTCTTCCTCCACCCTCCCCTGATACAGTCCAGCCCAGGAAAGCTGTGCTTTTATTGGTTGAATGTGCTGTCACTCACTTGGCACGAAAAGTACAGCTTCTGCCCTGGTTGTATCTATGAATGAACAGATGTGCCTGGTTTGAAGACGCGGATTCATTTCTTGATGGGAAGAAAAATCCTTTTTAGTTTTTCACTTATTTGTTTATGTATGGGATTTTCGCTAACTTTGGACCAGCTATTTGCCAGGAAGAATGTAAGGTGAGTAATCGCACATCTTTTAATGCGATGCATTTGTGAACTTCAGTGTAGCATTTGAAGTTGTGCTGTATAGTTAGCTACTGAAATTGTTGAGCGAGCGTTTACAATTAAGAGATAAACATACAATCCTTATTGTTACAAGGGGAAAGAGTTATTTGTTCAAAATATCCAAGAAACTTTTGTATTATGGATCAAAGAATGTATCTATAAGATAATGACTCCTCAATTCAGTGTTCAGATTTCTTTTACATTTCCAAGTAAATGTGAATTTCACAGTTTCTCCTGCCATCGTCATGTGAGAAGAGAGTAAGAAGAAATTAAAAACCTCAGATAACGTGTCTCCCAAGGAAGGATGTTCAATCATTTTAAGTGGTAGGAGACGGTAATTCTATGTGATACACAGTATTTAAAATTAACAGGCAAAATTTCTATTTCTGTTATCCCTTTGCCTTCTTTCCATACCATATAAGGAACATATCATATAGAGATCTATCTATAAAAATATATTCAGAATCTGAACAGCAAATGTTTTTATGTCACGCCTCCCAATTCATTATTACATGCTGTCTCAACAATGCATCAGGGAATTTAGTGTGAGCACAAAGGAGGAGCAGGATAATCTGGTGAAACTTGTGTTAAAGAACCCTTAATTCACCAGCTGATGAAAGCTGGAAGTACGGGAATTTTTTATTTTTTCTCTCACTGTTTCCAAATCAAGTGATACTTTCCTTCAGGTTCACTTTAATTAGTAAGTGATTTATATTCCTTAGGTAAAGCTTAACAATGTTTCCCCACCTACGTTATACAGAAATGACTTGTGTATTCTACTGAAAATATGTACATCAAAAATTATAAAAATCTAAATTATGTTTTTAAGGCAAGGTTGATTGTCATTAATGGTATTAAACAATCTTAGCTTCCTATGTTTCAGATCTTAGAGGTCGTATACATCAACGATTATTTGAATCTAATAATAGGGCATGCTTATACATTATGAAAGAAATAACAGTTGCTGTTTTGTGAATGTTCTTTCAAATAATAGATGTGAAATTAAAATATCTTTCAACTCTGTGGGGCTATTCAAGATTCTTACGTCTCTAGGAACGATGATTACATTTGAAGCTGATAGATGTTTGCTAAACAGAGAATAGGGGTTACCGTTCTTCCCTGCATATTCCTTTCTCAAATTGGGTTTATTCTCAAACTGAAAAAATAAAGCATGTGTGGTCTCACATTTTTCACTTTGATTTCAGAGTCTGTTCGTCAATTTGTTCATTCATGCATGTGATACATTTGAAACCTACTTGGCTCATTAACCAGATAATATATATTATTCAAACTAACTTTGAAATATATTGTAAAAGAAAAGTATAGGAGGCAAAGAGCACGTACAACCGGGAGCTGTGAGCTGGCTGGAGAAGTTAGGGATCATGTTCCCGAGTTCGTGATATTTTAACTGTGACCTACAGAAACTGTACAACATAACTGGGAGGATGGAAGATATTCCAGGTGGAGGGAACAGCCTGTGCCAAGACTCTTGTGAGGGAAGAAGGGACCATGAAGCATTCAGGGAACTGAAGAAGGCTAGTGCATCTGGAACAGAGCAAAAAGAGGAGAGGTGATTGAGGCGGCCCAGCTCTGGGCGGTGGTGGGAATGTGGACTTGTCCTAAGCAGGGCTGTGAAGGAGCTTCACTGTCACGTTCGCCTTCACCTGGCAGCAGCTGCTACAAAACCAAGGCTCTCGATTACTTTTCAGGTATTTGCAAAGATCTCTTTTATGGGAAAAGGTTCTGAATATTTTAGGAACAATGTACATTTAATGCTCTTAACTGGCATTTCCCATTATTCCTGGGTTCACTTCAGTGAGAGCCGCCGTTTGTTAAGTCCTCTCTTCCTCTCTCCTGGTTGTCTCTCTTATTTTGTAGGAGTGTGTCCTCCCTTAGCTTCCCGGGAAAGGGCGCGAGAGAGACGTTTTCTGAAACCTTGCTTGGTTCTTGTTTTTTGTCTCTGAAAGCTAATAGAATATTTTTTTGGATCCTTGGCTCCAAAATGTTACACGTATTTGACCTCCCAAAGATCAACTCAGTAGATCACAGACCTAAACGTAAAAGCTAAAATTTTAAAACTTCTAGAAAAAAAACACAAGGCAAAATCCTGTGATCTTGGGTTAGGCAAATACTTCTTTTAGACACAAAGAACACAGGCTATAAGAGAAAGAAATGAATACATTGGAATTTGTGAAAATTAAAACTTTTGGGTTTTGAAAACCACCATTAAGAAAACAAAAATGGAAGACATAGAATGGAAGAAAGTATTGTCAATGCATATATCTGATGCAGGACTTGTATCCAGAACTTATCAAGGACCCTTACAACTCCATCTCAGGAGGTCAACGAGTTCACTTTTTAAAATGAGCCAGAGATTTAAACACCCACTTCACAAAAGAAAATACATGAAGGGTCAATAGGTATAAGAAAAGACACTCAATTTCATTAGTCTGCAGGGAAATGAAAATTAAAACCACACTCCTGGCATGGCTAAAATCGAATGGATTGATAATAACCAATGCTGGCAAGAATGTTGAGCCACAGGAAAGCTCATACCCTGAAACTAATTGGCAGTTTTAAGGTAAGTTACACACTTGGCGTGACTTGGTCGTTCTACTCCCACGTATGTGTTCAAGAGAAAACAAAAATATATTTCACACAAACTCCTGTAACTAATGTTTCTTAAATCTACATTTGTGGTAGCTTCAAACTGGAAGCACCCTAAATGTCCATTGATGTATACATAGACAAATAAAATGTTATATATTCATACAGTGAAATATTTCTGAGCAATGAAATTAAATGAACTACTGACACATGTCATGGCATACATATATTTCAAGATCATGACAATAAGACTGAAAGAAGTCACACACTAAGGAGTGATGCCATATGATTCTATTTATATACAACTCCAGGAAATGCAAACTTAAGGGAAAAAAAGAAAAAGAGACCAAATGCAAACTAATGTAAAGTGACAGGAGCAAGTCTGTGGTTACCTGGGACCAGGGGTGGAGGGACTATCTCTGCAAAAACCCATGGGGGGACCTTCTGCGGGTGATGTTAACACATTGTATCTTTACTGTGGTAGTGGGGGTGTCCTGGGTATGTGTCTGTGTCCAAACTCATAAAATGAATAATTTGCATAAATACAATTCATTATGCATAAATTTTATCTCAATAAAGTTGATAAAAATTAATGAATAATTGCATGCATGCTTGAATTTATTAATAGCAACTAGTGGGCATCATAAGTCGCCAATCTGTCATCTTCAGAACATTTCATTGGATAATAGAGATTCTATTACAAAGTGAATGGTGCATTTAATTTGTATTTGGCTACATATAATTAATTGTAAAGCACTTTGATATTGATATAGTAACTCTTCAGCTACAGTCGTGTTTTGCATACATATCAGGACATGTAATATATATCTTTGTCTAATTCTAAAAATGTTGAATTTATATGACAGTGATATGTAGACGCCTTGGATAGAAATTGTTAAGTGTAGCATTTGACTTACATTCTTATATACCACAGGTACAACTTACAAAAATCTTAAAATGTGCAATAAACAATTAAAATCTTTAGGACGTTTGTGACACAATTAGAGATTTAAAAACTGATAGAATATTTAGTGTTAAAGAATTATTAATATTTTCTAGATGTCATTGTGCTCTTATTATATTTTTTCATATTTTCTTCAAAGTTATGTCACAGGAGGGAAATAGGTAAATTTATAGGTAAAACAAGGTTGGTTATAACCTGATAATTACTAAAGTTGAATGATGGGTACAGGTATGTGTGGGGAGGGGAGACTTATTGTATTTTTCTGTTTATATTTTATGTCCCAAATATTCCATGATAAAAAATGTATATGTATTCTGAAGTGAAATTGCTATTTAAATTTAACTTTAAGGACTTTATGTTAAGGAACTTTTCATGGGTAGGAACAAACAATCCAAAATGATGTTCACTGAAGAATTGTTATAATACCATAAAATTGGAAACAACTTAAATCTTTAAGAGTAGAAATTTGGTGAAGTGCACTATATTTTTATGATGTAATGCCACATGCCATTCAAAAAATGTATCAAAAAGATATATAATAACATGAGAAATAACTGTGATTATTTTAAAATTAAAAACATTGTGGGCACCACAATAGTATGCTCACAAAAATCTATTTTTGAGTTTTATTAAAAAGTAAAATTATATGTGTATGTGGTGTGTCTGTGTGATTTGTGTTTGGGCATGTACTAGAAGGATATATATCATAATTTATCTCCTTATGATTTTCAGAAATATATTTTTGGCGTTTGTGTCTTACTTTTTTAAGGTTGGCTATTTTGGCTTTAACATGTTAACACATGTGGTATAAAATTTTACAGCAAAATATTTTATTATATGTCATTATCTGATTATTATTTATTATTGATTAAACCTCAGTGTCTAGCATACTGCTTGGCGAATAGCAGGCTCTTCTATTATTCTATGAGAATAAGGATCCGAGTTGATTTAAACTAATTTTTCTTCTTTAAATTTTTCTCTACTGTTTTTATTTTCTTCAAAGCTATGTTCTGCTAATGTTCTGCTCCTCTCCTCTGAGATGTAATAAGTGGAACTATCCTTTTTAAAATTGCATGTAAAATCTGAATTGTAGATATTATTCAGCCTCTTTTGATTTTTTTGTTTTTTCCTGATTTCAGTTCTCCAACATCTTCGAGAAAAGAAGTGGTTATAAAGAGTGGTAAGACTCGTAATTGTCTTCATGATTCTCTAGGGGGATTGAAAAAGGGATAATTCTGTGGTAGATTCCTCTGACCCATAGTGTTGGTGCCAGGAATCCCTCATGTGAAAATTCTTTAAGTTAATGTATTCTGCATTATGAGACCAAAGCGGTCCACGCCTGATCTCTTTCACAGGGCTGAGCATATTTACTGTTTCTCAGTTACACTAATCAATTGGTGCCATTTTCCTTTGGTAAATACATCATTATTTATTTGACAGATCAACAGAAGAAAGAAGATAGGAAACCAGTCCAGAATTTCACAATGCCAATCACACAGGTATGACTATAGCAGGATACTGGATTTTCATCTATCTGAAAAAAAAGTTAAACACATTTAAATCATATCAGAACTATGTGAAAATGTAGCAGAACCTCTATAAGTTGACCACCCTAGGGACTGTAACAAACTGTTCAACATACGGAGCTGGTCAACATAAGGAAGTAGGCCTGCTGTACTGATACGTACAAGTAGTGCTTGTCTACTGTAGGAAAATTAGGTCAACTTAAGGAGGGAAGTGGCCAGTGTCAGGAGGGTGTCAACTATAGAGGTTCTACTGTGTATATAATCATTATAACATATCCTTGCTTGAGATTTGGGTGGCAAATGCATTATGAAATCTTTCTTTTCTGTGAGACAGGGGTCTTGCTTTGTGGCCTGGGCTAGAGTGCAGTGGCTCAGCCATAGCTCACTGTAACCTCAAACTCCTGTGCTCAAGTGATCTTCCAGACTCAGCCCCCTGAGTAGCTGGGACTATAGGTGCATGCCACCATGCCTGGCTATTTTTTCTTATTTTTTGTAGAAATGGGGGTCTCGCTATGCTACTCAGGCTGTTCTTAAACTCCTGGCATCAAGCGATCCTCTCACCTAGGCTTCCCAAAGTCCAGCTATTACAGGAGCAAGTGCATGGTCTATCGTGGGACCTTCTGAGAAGATTAAGATACTCTGAGACATTAAGATACTCAGTTTTATTTCTGTTGCTTTTTGAACAAGATAACTGGAGTAACAGTTTATCTTTGGTTAAAGATAAGCCTGGGTTGCTGCTCTCTGTTAACTAATTTTTCTTTTATCTGTATTTATACTGGTGTAATTGGTTCAGTCTTTGAATTGCAGATTGTATGGGTTTTAATACATCTATAATAATGATATGTATTTACCATTATAGGATGTGAATTAACTCTTTTATTTCTAGGAAGCCTTTTGTACCAGGGATACAAATTCATTTCTTAATTGAATTCATTTCTTCATTTCATTTTGTTTGGTTAATTAGGCTCCCAACTACAATCTGAGCAAAGAAGGGCATTTAGAAAAAGAACCTTGGAATGCATTCAGCTATCACAGCCCTGTTAACGTCTCCATGGATGGAATTCCCTGCATTCTCTTCTGGGCCAAAAGAATCACAATTAAATTTAAGAATCAGACCTGGCTGGACCTTACAGATGAAGCATTTGGTCAGAAGGCAACAGTGGATACAGGCAACTCAAATTGTAGTCAAGACAGTGCTTCGTAAGTTTGTCTCTGCTTGAAGCCGCCCGTCGGGCTATTGCAATCTGTTAACTGTGCAGATCTAGTTTTTTGTCATTTCGGAAAAAATAAGTGGGTTCCTTTGTATTTGACCCTGACACACATCTTTGAGGAAGTGTTTAACCTCTAAAATGTAAGGACAAGTCAGAAATCTACTTTTAAAAAATTGTTATATTGTTTCTGTTAATTTTCTTCTGAACCCTTTGGCTAACTATTATAATAAGTTATGGAAAGTGGGGGTCCGGAAAATGAACGTTTCCAAATTCATTGGAAAAAAAGAGAAAAGAATTCCAGGCTTAGTCTTCACTTCAAATGTTAGGTTTCAAAATACTTTTGTCCCACAGGGGAAGAAATTACGTATCCCAGCAGTGTCATACGTGTCTAGTGAGTCAAATACTAGCCAGGACAAATTTTTTTTTTTTTTTTGAGACAGAGTCTCATTCTTTGCCCTGGGTAGAGTTCCATGGCATCATAGCTCACAACAACCTCAAACTCCTGGGCTCAAGCAACCTCTTGCCTCAGCCTCCAGATTACCTGGGACTACAGGCATCCATCACAATGCCCAGCTAGTTTTTCTATTTTTAGTAGAGACAGAGTTTTGCTCTTACTCAGGCTGGTCTTGAACTCCTAAGCCCAGCTGATCCACCTGCCTCGGCTTCCCAGAGTACTAGGATTCCAGGTGTCTGGCCACAGGTCAACTGTTTGACTCTTCAGGGGGTTTCTGAAATTGTGGAACACTGTCTGTTTGCAAATGTGCAAGGATCCCTTTGAATAGACAGATTTCAGAGAATTCTTTTGAATGATAGAAAATAACTAGAATAATTAGTTTTGATTTGAGAAGAGCAGATTAACCAAATATCCCGCTCAAAGGAGCAAATCAATTTCTAATGTCTTTCTCTGCTTTTCAGTTACCTAAGCAAATAGTTTTGTTTTGTTTTGTTTTTTTTCATTTTGGTCCAGAAGGAATTGGCACTTGCTTTCTATAAACCTTCTTCTCAACTTTTGTTGGTATACTAGATGCTTTTGGAAGATTCTCTGCATTTGTTCAGGCCTGGTTTAGATGGGTGGTATGCTTTGTGTAAACCATAACATACGTGTGTGTGCATGTGTGGGTGTGAGATAGACAGAGAGAGAGACTGTGTGTGTATTCTTTTTATACTTTATATATTTTGGTTGGAAACACTTTTTATTCCTGAACTTTACTTCTCACTTACAAATTCTTGATAATGGGTAAAGACGAATTACATGAATTATGCACTTAAAAATCATATTACAAGTCTTAGTAAAAATCTTGCTATTAAGAATTACCATCTCTTATTAGGGATTTAGGGAATTGCAAGTGAAAACAGTCAGGGTGCTCCCAGATTTCTTCATCCTGTTACAGCATGACTATCAAAGACCATCAGAGCAGTTCTAGCCCTGCTGAGAACTCGGGACTTTTTCCTCAGGCGCTAATTAGCTCCCTGCAGGGCTTTTCATTTGTGGTCAGTTGCCCGGAAAGTGCAAATAGCCTGGGGGTATTCTTGCCAGTCCAAGGCTGACTGGGGTGTCTGGGTTCCATTATCCCCACCCTCTGGTATTTGTGGGGAAATCAGGGCACCCTAGCTTTTCCCACTGGGCTTTAGAGACCTTAGTGATCACTGGGAACTTAGAGATGGAAAGAATGAAAACTTGGCTGTGAGGCCCATTTCTGCCAATGAAATCTGTGACCTTAGGACAGGACCTGTAGGATCATCATTTATGGGAGGGAGATGGGACTTCTATTCACTGTAGGATCATCATCTGTGGGAGGAGACGGGGGCGTCTATTCACTGTAGGATCATCATCTGTGGGGACTGAGATGGGGGCATCTATTCACTTTAGGATCATCATCTGTGGGGATTGAGATGGGGGCATCTATTCACTGTAGGATCATCATCTGTGGGGACTGAGATGGGGGCATCTATTCACTTTAGGATCATCATCTGTGGGGACTGAGATGGGGGCATCTATTCACTTTAGGATCATCATCTGTGGGGAGGAGATGGGGGCGTCTGTTCACTGTAGGATCATCATCTGTGGAGAGGAGATGGGGACATCTGTTCACTGTAGGATCATCATCTGTGGGGAGGAGATGGGAGCGTCTGTTCACTGTAGGATCCTCATCTGTGGGAGGGAGATGGGGGCGTCTGTTCACTGTAGGATCCTCATCTGTGGGGAGGAGATGGGAGCGTCTGTTCACTGTAAGATCATCATCTGTGGGAGGGAGATGGGGGCATCTGTTCACTGTAGGATCCTCATCTGTGGGAGGGAGA